AATATACATACATTTCTGACTAAATGAACAAGTTAATGGATAATATGAGCAAGGCCAGGTTTGATTCCAGTACCAAAAACTGTGACATTTTCAACAATTTCTTGTTTCACTATCTAACCAATAGCTCATCAGTCGAGTATGTGTTTCTTCAAATGGCTGCCAGTGAAAATAAAAAACTATCTGCAGGTAAGATGATAAGACCAGTTCAGCAACTGGTGATGGAAACAGGAATTATAAAACATGAGGTAAAGTTCTCTTTCTAAAATTAATTGGTGCATTTTAAGTGTAATTGTTTATTCATTGGGCCATTTACATATTTCTGCTTTTAATTTTAATTATGCTAGTTTTGGTCATCCTTACTCCAGATGTGCTGACTTCTTCTAAAAAGACAGTTTCTTTTTTTTTCTTTTAGCCACTTCAGTAGAAAACAGAACTGAACATTAGTTTCTTCATCATCAGTGACTTTTTTAAAAACCACAAAAAGACAGTTTCTAAACTTCTAAACGAAATGTAACAGAAGTTCAGGCGATGGTTTCTCTTTCTGCCAGAAAGTAGTGCATTGACAAAATATAAAGGTTGTTTTTGCTTTAATCATTAAAAAAAGAAAGAAAAAACAGACTTTTTCAATTGTTATTCTTCTAATTTAGTTCTAAATGTAAATGGACTGTACTTATATAGCACCTTTCTACACAACCAGGATACTCAAAGCGCTTCACATTACAATCTGTGTCTCACACAGCACTCTACCAGATCTCCAGCAAAGCTAACATATAAAATCATTTATGGAGACTAATCAGTGCCAATCACATTCATACACTGATGGGACACACATCAGAGGTATTAGGGGTGAAAGTGTCTTGCCCAAGGACACAACAACTGAAACAGCTGGACAGGAGATCGAACCGGTGAACTTCCAGTTCCAGGACGACTCCCCCTAACCACTCTGCCACAGCCGCCCATACAACTCTCAGGCACAAAGGATTGGTGCAGTAAAAATACAAAAAAATAGAGTTTTTGTTTTATTTTGAAATGGAAAAACAAAAGAACATGGATTTAAAACACAAAAGACTTAAAAAAATAAACTAACAAAATCACAGCTTCAGGGACAAACCATTCAGGTATTTTTACTGTACCAATCCTGCGTGCCTGAGAGTTGTACGGTTCAGCAGGTAAGAGTGGAAAGATGCAGGTTTAAAAGGTTTTTTTTTCCTATTTGTTACTTGAGGTGATGCATAAAGTCAGTGATGGATTGTGGTTTGCTCACATCAGACAAAAGTCCTGCTTAAATCCAGTGCTTCTGGTCTAAAAGTGGATATTTGCAAAGCTTGTGTCGTTCATGCTAGTCACTGCTAATTTTTAGAGTTGCTGCTGATGTGGGTTGGGATTGTCTGGAGGAGGGGTGTTCAGTCCTGGTCCCAGAGCGCCACTCTCCTGCATGAGGTTTCTCTGCGCCAACACTCCTGATTTGAATGAACACATCTGAATTACTTCTTTTCAGTTCATCTGTAGAACTCGAAGAGGTAATTCAATCGTTGATGCAGGTGTGCTGGAGCACAAGAAACAAGTAAAACGTAAGAAAATGACCCTCGACGACCAGAAATGTACACACCTGGTTTGGACCTTTTTGCTGTTTTTCTATAAAATGTTGTTACCTTAATAACAAAGGCTGCTACTCTTTGATGAACTTCTTTTTTATATAATTAGTGATGAAACTTGATGGCACTTCATTTGTTTTTTTGTTTTTTTGATGTTGTTCAACATGTATTTACACTGATTAATAAGGGCATTATGCCTACCCACCTTATAATGCTTGTTTTTCCAAATTAAACCTGATTTTACACACAAATGAGAGGTAAATCTTTATGTCTCAGATTTAATTGTCAAACATATCCCACAGATGATGGATTGGATGGTGATTTGGGGACTTTTGAGGCCAGATTAAGGCACTGAACTTGTTATACTTCTCAAACCATGCTGAAACCATTTTTTCAGCAGGAACAGGGTTTTATTATTCTGCAGAGCTGCCATCAGTGGGTCATGTTTCCACGAGGGGATGTAGTTGGTCAGCAACAATGTTTAGGTAGGTGGTATGTGTAAAAATAGCACCTGTGTGAATGACAGGAGCTTAGGTTTTCCAGTAGAAGACGTCTCACACTATCACACCATCCCCACTGATGAGTTTTTTTAATGCTGGATTCTGCTGGACCAGTCCTCAGCATGTTATAAAAGAACATAAACCAAACCACCATTTCTTTGTTAGTTCCTGGTTCTGTTCTGATTCTCACATGTCCGTTTTGTAGGCATTGTGAGTGCTGGCCCAACCAACTCAACAACAATGCATTCATGAAGTTGAGCTGCTTTGACTTGTGTTTTGTTCCATCAGAACAACATGGAAGTTTTCTGGATCTGACTCCACTGGATTTAACACATTTAGAGGAGCTGCATCCAGCGCGGTAAAGTTACACCAGTCTGGTAGGTGGAAAAACCTATCTGACTCACAGCACACTAGAATCTGGGACTGGGCAGTCGCTGCTGTTCCAGTAACTGCAGGACCTGGAGACAGAATGGTCAAAAAATACTATTTTGAGCCAAGTGTAAGACAGAGATAGAAGACAGGTTTGCCTGGAGTAATATCTCTACGACGGACATGTCTCCCAATCATTTCTACTGTTTTACAGATGGATCCCTTCTGAAGGGGCCAGCAGGTTCAGGGGTGCTGATTTTGCACAAACACAGTAAGAGAGAGCATAAATACCCTCTAGGTTGTTTTGCAACTGTATCTCAAGCTGAGATATATGCAATCCACCAGTGTGTGGCATCTCTCAAAGACATTCAGTGTACACAGAAGGAAATATTCATCCTAACAGATAGCCAAGCTGCTATTAGAGCTCTCAGAGGGCCACATTTTACGTCATTACTGGCTCGGGAGTGTGCCGAAGCAGTCAACCAACTGGGAAGAGATAACATTGTTACTGTTAAATGGGTACCAGGACATACTGGCATTTATGGTAACGAGAGAGCTGACTACCTCACAAAAGCTGGCAGTCAGGCTCACTTCAAWKRACCAGAGCCTGTTGTAGGTACCTCAACAACAGTCTGTAGGACTGCCCTACAGGATCAAACATCAACACTCAATCTGCTGGAGGGAGCTGACGGCCTGTAGACAGGCACGGGAACTGATAAATGGATCAAATCTTCACTCAGACAAGGAAAACTCTAAGTACACTGGTTGGAGTCCTAACTGGGCAAAATCTGCTCAACCACCACAAAATGATGATGTGACTTCATGAAAATGGTCTGTGTGATGCCTGTGGCATTGAATTAGAGACCTCTTTGCACTACTTAGACCACTGCGTGGCTCTGAGCAGTCAAAGAATAAGAATTCTTGGAGACCCCTTTATGGATCCTGAGAAGCTCCAAACACTGAGTGTTTCTAACCTTGTGTCCTTCATCTGAAGGACGTGAAGGTTTGAATGAAGACCTGCGTGTTTTTGAGGAGAGCACTGGGCCCACTTACAAGGCCCCCGCTCAAATCCACCCCCAGTCACCATAACCATATTCTTCGACTGCATTTGCTTGCCTGAACCTTTCACCTGCATGAGTGAACCATGGCTGCCATGACACTTTTACAGATTCACTTATTTTCACTCTTTGGACCACTGTTGATTGGGCCTGGCCACTGCAGCCTGTAGCGTCTCAAATGCTGGAAATACAGAACCAGATTAGATAACATCAGAGAATCTCATATTTTACCTCACAATACTTTTTATTCCACCATGATGCACACCAGTTTGCCACTTTTATTGTATAGATAATTGCATTTAGTATTATAATGCACAATGGGTCGTGGAGATATTATTGCCAGGCAAAGGCTAGAGAGAGAAAATCAAGCCACAAGATTAAATTTCAAAAATCGAACCTGATTGTTAGTAACGGCACCTCTCTCCAAACTTCCACACACTTTATAAAACACTCAGAGAAGGACCTCTGGACCTCTCACTATAAGACAGAAGCAGCCAGCAACACACAGAGTCACGTTTAATCTATCCACCTTATTTTCCCCCAGAGATACAGACACAGTCAATTGTTTTTTTTGTGCGAGACTTCACTGGCTTGCTAACTAACTTTTCACTGTATTTTTTATGCTTTACAGTCCTTGATGTCACAGTTATATAGAAAATGGACAGATTCTATTAACTACAAACTATTGGAAAAAAAATAGCTT